TGTCACCCACTAGCTATTCGATCCTGGACAAAACATTAAACTTTTCCCATGCATAAATGGGGACACCAACAGCTCTTCCCCACTAGGGTTGCCATGAGTGAAAGGAGACTGTGCCATGGGAAGGGAGGGACAGAGTAACCCTGTGCTTCCCTTGCTTAGCAGTGTCGTTAAGGGTAGTACTATACTGAAAATAAAAACCTACATTTAAAAACAAGACTTGGGACTCAGCTTTTTGTCCTTATATATTTAAGATAAAATGGATAAGCATACATATAGTCGTCCCTTGGTATCTGTGATAGACTGGTTTCAGGACCACCTATGGATACCAAAATCCTCCCAGGGCAAGTCTGTTATAGAAAATGGTGTACTACAGGGATGGATAAAAATTAGAGTGAATGTTTTAAGTTTTAAAAAATTGATTATGGTAACACACTGCCATTAATCTCCCTCAAAATATCCCTCTCACTTTGAACACACATACCCCAACCCCATTATTTTTGCCACTTTCTGAAGCATATCCAGAAGTCCTCTTTTGTGAGGGTCTCTATGAAATGTGATAAAAAAGAAAAAAGCATGGTGAACGCTGCTGCCAAGTGCTGTCCAACGGGAAAGCAGACTTGTAAAGACAATATCGTGTGTCCTCATCTACTTTATTCTTCAGATTGGGCACAACGTGACTACTGGCTCTCCCTCAACGTCAAATGACCATGAAAGGTAAACGTGAATCCATTCAGGACATCAGGGTAGCCACGACAGCACAACTTCAGACACTCCGGAAAGAGGACCTCCAGAACTGCCCAGAACATGGCAGGAATGAGGGGATACATATGCTCCAAGTGAGGGGAAGAATCTTGAGGAGACTAACGGCAATGTGGCTTTTACTGCAGTCATTTTTAAAACAAACACATACATGTTTTTCTATCTGACCTCTTATTTACATACAACCAATATGCATCCTTCTATACAATTCATCTCTACTTTACTATAATATCTACTATAAGCCATTACATAAATAGTTGTTCTATCTATTGTTTAGGGAATAGTGACAAGAAAAAAATGTAGATGTTCAGTATAGAAAAGCTTTTTAAATATAATTTTAATCCACAGTTGTTTGAGTCCACGCTGGAGAAGAACCCACCGATATGGAGGCTGACTGCAATTGCTGTATGTTGTGTGGCTGCAGATCAGAATCCAGCAACAAGCAACAAGTACAGTAACGAGAGTGATGCATGTTATTATGCTCATCGTCTTATTTGACTTGAAATGGACAAATACAAATTATTTTGAGAGTTATTCCTTAGTAAGTATAAAGAACAGGTGATTATAATTAGAGGACAAATGGACCCCAAATTGCTGCTCCAAATATCTCCTGATTTTAGTAGGGAAAATATACCAGCACAGAGAAGAGAGATATTTAAAAGGCAAACGTCCCATCCCCACGCCCTGTTCAACCCTGGAGCATTTTAGAAATCAATCATCCCAAGCTGTACAGTGAGAAATGGTTTTTATGCTGATTATTGCACTATGCAAGGAAAGCAAGATTAGTCTGATAATAAGAGAAAATACGAATGAATACCTATGATTGTCATCTGAGTTGAAATACATTGGACAGTAAAATCATTGCTATTTGTAGGGCTTATTGTAAAATATACATCCACCTTCTGGCTGTTTATTTTGTCCTTTAGAATGAAATATACTCTTCCACTGTGAACATGCCAGTATGCAGAAACAGAGAAAAGTTGTATAAATGGCAGTAAACTTGCCGGAATTTCCTATTAGACTTAGCCCAGGCCTCCTTTGAAAAGGTAAAGCTCGGGGCTGGGGATTTAGCTCAGCGGCACAGCGCCTGCCTGGCAAGCACGAGGTCATGAGTTTGATTCCCAGTACCGGAAAAAAACAAAAACAAACAAAAAGCAAACAAAAAGGTAAAGCTCTTGAGGAAAGTGGACATGTTAAGCCAGGGCATCAAGGACTATCATACTTTAGTCTGATTTTCCTCTATTTACCTCTTCCCTCATTACTCAAACCACACAAGGAATATTAGAGAAACAGAGGCTTTATAACATGAGAAAACTGGGAGGCGAAGAGCTTTCGGGCATAGCTGTGTTGACGAGGCGCACACATACTTTCTCTCAGTGCTGAGATGGTGGCACAGGTATGGAGCTGGGCAGCAAGAAGGGCGGCCACAGCAGGTGAAGTACACACAGGGAGAAAAGGCTGGCTAAGCAGCACTGCTGAGCACCACACAAAACACGAGACCATGTCATTCTCCAGCTAGGGAGTGAGTACACAGGACGTCCGTGTTTCAAATGAGTTTTTCATTGAATTGGACTTATTTCAGTGCAAATAAACCTTTCCCCACTCTGAATATACCTTCCTAAAACCAAGAAAGTAACATTTTTTGCTATCACATTCGCAAAATCAAAATGTCCACTGTCAGAGGGTACACACAAACCCATATGTTCAGATGTCTCTTTTGGAAGAAGAAAAAATTGGCAGTGGTTATCCATATTTAAAACATGCAGAATTTTGATTCAAAAATTTGACTCTCAGCAGTCTATCTTGGAGAAATAGTGGCACAAATACACAAGATTTAATTTCCTCAAAGATATTCAGTGCAACACTGGGCAGCAAACTCGACACATTTAAAACATCTGCCAACAGGGAAATGGTCAGATCACGAACAAGAAGTAACACATATAGAACACTAGACAGCAATTAAAAGACATGCCATGTATCTACATGTACTATGATGTCTAGAAGGAGATGTGAAAGTGGTTGGTTGAAAAAATATAAAAATAACATTTATAGTATGATCAAATATTTGCACTGAGGATAGATGAATAGAATGGATAGATAGATAAACAGATGGAAGGATGGACAGATGGATGAATGGGTGAATAAGCACAGAGAGAGAGGGAGTGGAAAAAAGAAGGAGAGGAAATAATATCAATGAAAGTTAGAGGTGTCTCCATTTAACAAATTGTCAATTTAGAATATCTGCTGTGTTACTTTAATTGTTAATTTTCACACATTGTTGGATTGTTTGAATTTTTAATAAGAGTACCCACTACATTTGTAATTAAAAACTACCGAATCCATTTTTTTTTAAATTGAAGGAACGGTGTGTGTTTTCTCTTCAAATTGAGTGAGTGCCGGACTTTGAAAATGAAGATTAATATCTAGTTTCCCCTGGCCTCTTGGGTAAACTTTGGGTCATTATTTGCCCACTGCATTTCTTTTTTTTTTTTTTTGGTTTTTCTCCGGTACTAGGAACCGAACTCACGACCTTGCGCTTGCCAGGCAGGCGCTTTTGCCGCTGAGCTAAATCCCCAGCCCCTTACCCACTGCATTTCAATTTTCTCAAATGGGCCCAATGACAAATACCCTTTTAAATCTCAGGAATATACATATTAAGCCACTTCAGTTAACTTAAAAAAAAATCCCCCTCCAGGATCAAACAGTTCCCTTCAAATACTCACACCAGGGTTCTCAAATTTTTCCTAAAATATTGTTTGCTGGGCCCCACTCCCAGAGTGTCTGACTCAGTAGTCTGGGTTGGGGCCTGAGAGTCTTCATTTCCCTAGAGGCTCCTCCCGGGGCTCCTGACTGAGGAATGACACCTTGAGAATCACTGCTCTAGGGCAAAGAAACTCTCCGCCAAGGATAAATAATAACAGGGCCCTGGTGAACCACATTTGATAAGGACACGTGCCAGGCCTGCTACTTCCTGAGCACCTCTTCCCAGCAGGCAAACAGGGTCTGCACTGACACAACACACACCCACTCTGCAGCCTCAGACACCTGCATGGGAGCGCGGGCCAGGCGTGTGAGGGACTGACGTAGGGGAAACCAGGCTCCACGTTCTCAAGAGAAGAAAACTCACCTTCTGAGAAGATGATGTGGTCATTGCATTCTTCAGCACTACAGGCGCACATAAAGAAAGTCTCGCCAAGCACTTTTTTTTCCTTCATAATGCACTTTAAAGAAGTAGCATCTTCCAGGATAAATCCGTGGTAGGGGAGCTCAGGGTCATGGCAGACCGTCTCTAGTGTTATGTTCTCATCATTCTTCCGCCTAGGGTACAGAATTCATTGAGGAGAGGAAAGAGAGAAAAAGGAAATGAATAAAATACAGTCTCTGGGTGGAAAAGCAATCTGGTCATGAAGTTGTTGCTACTAATGGCAGCTGGTTTCTGTTCTCCACCACTAGCAGGGTGTTCCATGATTTCCTGTGCTTTCTGTACTCATTTCTGTTCTTTCTTTGCTCATTCCCAGAACCCATTCATGATTATAAACATGACAGCCTTCTGTGGGGGTTGGCCTGAGAGAGACTTTTACACATTAAGTCTACTTGAATTCCTAAAGAGGAGAAATGAGAAAACAGAAGATCCCTGTGTACTCAGGGTACTTTTAAACCTACACCCAGAGTGCACTGCAAGGCTCACATCGCACCCTTAGCTTATGTTGAGCATCAAGGTCCTCTCCAGCTAGACTGTTTTCGAAGAGGACGTCTGTCACAGTGGCACAGTCCCTTTTGTGTTTGCTGGCCCACAGATAGGTGAGGGGCACAGTCCATGTCAGCAGCTGGCTTTATAAGCAAAATGAGAAGCAACATGCCAGACAAAAGTGCAATTTCTCAAATTACTGGAAGGAACAGGAAAAGAAAAATAAATCACCTGGGAAAGAACTGCAGGGTGTTCTTCATTCAGAGATCAGCAAAGTATTTTATGCTATCATGAACTAATTTCTTTTACATTTCATGTCCCTCTGTATCACATAGTTAGGGACTAATTTAGCTAAGGGCCCAGGCAATATCTCACAAGGCATTTTCTTAGGCCCTAAGAAGTGCTTACTTGGCTCTTCATGGAGATGACACTTAAAGATGACACGATGAATGCCCACAATTATAATTGCAAAAGCCAAAATAAAACTTCAGCATTCTTGGAAAAGGTTGTTACCTCTCCCACACTTCTCTCTGCTTCTCTTGTGAACATTCCATGTGAAATGATTCAATCCAACACCATGGCTGGTCTGACATTGGCCCTCCCCTCCCAGTGCTATCAGATATAAAATGTCTACCACCTTCAGCGGCAGTCTGTGTATCTAGACACTGTACCTACGGAGGAAGTGTGGGGAAGTCGGAATTCGGCCTTTCATGATGTCCAATCACCGCTGCAAGTGTAATCCTCTGTGAGAGGGTTCTCAGTGCATGTACATGACTACATACACGTGCACGGGCAGTAATACACACGCGTTCTCATACACACACACGCAAACTCAGTCCTCACAGCAAGGAACACGGAAGCTAGGCTACAAGGAAGAAGCAACGAAGTCGTACCTTTCACCAGGAAAGGAGTGGGCCTTCCCTCTGGGGAAGAGCAACTTTGACTGCTACCATCTTCTTAGTGTTTAATGCAAGAACACTGAAGGATAGTTACATGCCAAGTAGATAATTAGAGCAGGAGTATGAGGAGAAGAGATCAGCTGAACCAGGAGCAGAAGTGGTATTTATTATATCCACGCAGCCCAGAAGTGGTTCCAGTATCAGCACACATGCTGCTGCATGAAAGAGCTTGGATTCCCAAACAAAAGCTCCAGTGGACACAAAGAGAGCAATCCCTCCCTAAATACAGTAGATCCTTCCTGTTACAGAAGGAGCAACAGCCAGAACCTTACTCTATGGTGGTTATCCCAGAACTAAAGGAATCTAAGTAAGTATCACCATGATCACATAATAAATGACATCTATTGAATTTTTTTAATTTTAATTTTTATTACTACATGTTTGCAGCAAATGATTACATGCATCATGGGGAACTGGTGCATGTATATAACACACCTTAGTTCTTTTTACCTCCCTTTCTTCCCTTCCCTTCCCCCTCCAACTCTTGACCCCCATCATCTCTTGTTTCCTTTTCTTTTTCTTTTTGAGATAGGGTCTCACTATGTAGCTCAGACTGGCCTCAAACTCATGGCAATCCTGATTCAGTCTCCCCAGTGCTGGGATTATAGATATGTCTTATCACCCTTGGTTTCTATTTCCTATTATCTATTTCTTAGTTTGCTCTTTAATTTATTTATATTTGGGTTCTCATATAAGAGAACTTAAACTCGTGTATCTAACTTATTTCACTTGATATTATGGTCTCAAGGTGCAACCATTCTCATACAGATGTATGCTTCTTCACAGCAGAGTAGTATTCCACTGTGCCTATTTAAAAACCTACCTATCCTTGACCTCAAACCTGCTGGGCAGTCTTTGCAAAGCCTTTAGCCATGGAACAGTTTTATGTGTATGCATCTGCAAATAGGTTTTTGTTGGGGTAATTTGCTTCTGGAGAAAATCATGGTAACTCCTCCTTGAGAAGCAGAGGCCAATGAACAAATTATAAGCCATGAAATAGCTGTTCTGTAACCACCAGGCAGCTTTTTCAGAGACTGTTACTTTCCATCTTCTAGCTACTCCGAGAAGTAAAACTGCAGAGAGAAAACGACTATAATACTTAAGTCTGGACAATAGCCTTAACTGACTTCTCCACTTACTCCTATAACAGAGCTTCTTCCCAGGTGGAACTAAGCTTGAAAAACATCTCTTCACAGTGTTGAATACAGGAAAAGAAAACACAATGAAATAAGTACAGACTTCTTTGTACTGCAAAGTTTGCACTGAGCTCCTAGACAGTTTGCCAATATCTACTGCAAGAATTAGCGTAAGGAAATTAAATTTGGCTCCAAAAATATTTCCATCCTTAGCAAAAGCTTAAGCATTTTAAGTGCAATGGGTACACAGCTGAGATTAGTTGGATGAATAAATGTGAATGAATGCAACAGTAAAACCAGTGAAAGCACTGAAACCCACTTCTTGGCTGCTCCTTTGTTTCCGTACTCAGATATTTTAGAAACAACGCCCTGTCCAGTTTGGGATTCCTGGGATCAGACGTTGAGGCTCTAAGTGTTCTGTGCAGAAGGTTCCGGACAGGCACCTGTAAAGGACTCCAGAAAGCAGGACTGCACAAAGGGAGGGGATGAACTGCACACAGGCTGCAGTAGAGGCCTCAGTTGATCTCTCAGAAGTTCTGCAGCTGGAATAATCCTTAAGAGTTGTCCCAAATTGAGGTAAATGGGCCAGCAATTGATTCCCCTGCTTCAACCAACAACGGGATGCTGACTGCCCATGAGGAGCACGGCACATGGGAAGATCATCTGCTGTCTGTGGAGGGGACGTCCTTGGTGGGACTAAGAATGGTGCTCTGCAATCCCATTCAGGAAGCAAGCAGCTCCGTCCTAACGAGGGAGCAGGGAGATGTGCAGAAGGATGCACCACGCTTCCCTCTCCCGTTTCAGTACTCGCATGCACAGGAGTAGTGGCCTTAGGAAAGACAGGTTAAAAATGGCATGCATTTAAATTAGAAATTCTGCAGGACCCAGCTGTGCCCTTGCTAGGTATCTTCTCCAAACAGCCTAAGTCATCGTACAACAGAAATACATGCCTATCAAGGTTTACAGCAGCACAATTCATAATAGCTAAATATTGGAAGCAGCTTTCATACTCATCAACAGACTACTGGGTAAGGAAAATGTGGTATCTATACAAAGGAATACTACTCAGCTATAAAGAATGACAGATTTGACACATTTGTAGGAAAATGGGTGCTCTTGGAAAATATGCTCAGTGAAATAAACCACACATGCAAATTTAAATACCATATAGTATCTCTCCTCAGTGATGCACAGTACAAACTAAGAAAATGATGAAGGATGGCTAGAAAGGGACAAGGGGATGGATCTCTTGCAATGGGGAAGTGGTCCAAGGGAACAAGGGAGGAGGGGAGGAGGAGGGGAAGAAATAGGAGGAATAAAGAAGTTCCATGTAGAACCTAATAACCCCAGTCAATGTAAACACTACATGAGCTAAAACAAATAATATCAACAAGTATGGAAAAGGGGATGGGGAATTGCAGCAGGGGAGGAAAATGAAAGGGGAAAGGGATTTTAAAAAAAGATACAAGCTGTAGTATGTACCTGTAACCACTCCCATGGACTATAAAGTCCATGAATTGTGAACATATACTAATAAAAGTTTTAAACTTATTTAAAAATAGTGTTCATGATACTTCCCCTTCCTAGTTGAACACCAAGGAGAGAGGGAGACTTCCTCTCCCTAACATGCTCACCACTTTTGAAACAACCCACCCCTTTATCCAGACAGACCAGAGGCCCATTCAATCGTTTGGACTTGATTTACAGGTGAGAGAGAGCAAGCACTCACACCGCAGCGGGCGCCAAGGAAGGAGGGGCCGCGAGAACAGAGGCACACAAGGAAGCAGGGAAGGCACCGAGGCCAGGTCTCAGTCCTTCCTCTTTGAATCCTTCACCTTCTCTGGAATTCATCTCACTTCCTGAGAAGGAAGTCTGGTCTCGTGTTGGGAAACTGTGATTGTGAAACCTTTTAAACACATGTTGAGCACAAATGTATTCACTCTCAAATGTTATGGGTCTTCCCGCCCCCGTTCAGAGTTTGGCAAAATGAGTTTATTACATTTTCCCCCTGATAGCCTTTCAGTTTCTCTCAGAAGAACACATGTCCTCTTGTGCTTGGACTAACCGTGTCTGACTGCGTCAGCCGTTCCTCAGGAAGCATGCTTTCAAAACCCACATTCACATGTGTTCTTTTCCTCTGAATATACTCCGTCAAGAATCCCTTTTTCAAATGCATTCCCAGAACCGGGCAAGCATGAACTTAACAGATACACTAAGTTGTCTTCACAGGTCCTTGCTGCTAGCATTCCTTCAGTTCCTAAGAAACCTGTTCGCCCTCTTGTATGTATGGAAATCCACAGGGTTTCAAGACCTATCAACAAGGCAAATCTGGCATCTAGAGAAAGTCTTAAAGGCTCATTCTCCAAAAAGGTGAAGCAGTGCTTGGGTTTACATTCTTGTTTGTGAACTGGCCAGAAGACACATAAGCTACTTAAAAAACATACAGCTGATATATTCAAAATATCTGAATAAATCAGCAAAATGTTAAATCCCATTAGTGACTTTACATCTTTCATAAAACTGGGACTCTTCAGGCTCAAGGTTGTTTATCTCTTGCTCATGCTGTTGACCCACAAGCACAAATTAACAAAATAATTCCTGAGTGCCCACAGCATGTGCACGACATACTACTTGAGGTATTTATATATGGGAGGGTGTGAGTTGGAAGGAATGTGAGGAAGAAGAAGGAAGAGTAGAGAATTTGATCCTAGACAAATAAGGAGCTCTGGTCCAGAAGAAAGCTCGTTCGCAGCCCAGCTGTAACCCAATGATTCTGAGTGCTTCTAAGTGAGCTCTGAGGGGATTGTTTTTCTCCCTTCTCTAATAACTCGTCTGTATTGCGGTTTTTCTTCACCAAAAGCCAACCTTTTACCTCCTCTCTTCCCACCATGCAGAACTGAGATTGCCTTGGAAGAAGAAAGCTCTCAGTGTCACTCTGGGTACTAAGGAGGTGTTAAATGACTAAGAAGAGGAATCACACTTCTTGATATAAGGAAGGCTTTCCACAGATTTATTTTAAACATTGAAAGTCGTCTTATACAAACACACAAACAAAAAGCATAGAATGGCTCTAGAGACCACATTTAATAATTGAAAGAGGGGTAGATGGTCTAAGTGAAAAGAAAATGGGGTAGATGCCTATGCGGCTTATGTGCCTCAGCGGGCTGTTCGTTCCTAAATGCTCTAAAAGGTTCGCCATCACTCGCTTAAGGTCTGGAGGCGCATGGACCAAGCACGCACACATTACTGATAAATGGGAAAAGAGACACTCCTTCAAAGGCTCCCTTACCATACGGCCACACAGACTTCGTTCGGCTTCTCACAGATGGATGTGATGCTGCAGTTGCTCAGGCAGGATTTCTGATTGTCACAGGTAGAAGATCGCACGTCACAAAATTTGCACAGTTGTGCAAATTTGACTGCACCATTGGCTTCAGTGGCCATCATGTCATTATTAACTGGTGGGAGAGAAAGATAGAGTGAATAATTATACAACAGCCGGGCAGCCTGCCAGTGAATTCCAAAAGGTGTTATGCAGTTTCAAATGAACTTGATGTCACGAGAATGTATAAGGAGAAAGGCAAAATAAGTCCTTCACCTCATACTAGAATTCCCTCAGTAAGCAATTTATAATGAAAGCCACAGTACAGAAATAGTGGTAGAGGGGCAGCAGCTTCTCTTTGTGCCCCTGATTATCATAAAGCATTCTTTCTATAGAAACACCTTATGATCCAATAAAAACCCAACTGATCCACTGCATAGTGCTGGGTACTGTGAGCACAAAATAAGTACCCTTAAGGAAACTGTGGTTTAGCTGGGTGAAAAGAGGTGGAAACCATCCAGCGCAGGGGAATCCAAAATGAAGGGAGGCATAGACGATGTCGGAACCAGAGAAAAATCATTACTCAAATTGATAGACAGAGGTCACAGCCAAATAGAGCTGTGAAAAACAAAAGGGAGCAGGCTGCCTCAAAGGGGAAGCTCTTCCTGGAAGCACAAGTTTGCCATGATGTAGCTACCTACACCTGGGACAGCTGTAAAGCCTGCGTAAGGCGTCTGGTCTATGACGTCTGACTTCGTCCCACTACACTGAGATGATTAACCAGCACTGACAGAGAACCTCCTAGACACTTCCCAAAAGGCCCTTGAAAACCGGTTCCGCCTCAAATGCCTGTCAGACAGCTCCCTCTGCGTCCTCATCCATTATCGCTGTCCTCACTCCAGTCCTTTTTCTCCTTACTTGACCCCTTTGAAGGCACACAGGCTTTCCTGAGAAGCCAAGTTTGTTCTATTTCCGACCTTTAAGTTTCCAGAACCTTTGTCTGGCTGCTTTTCAATTTTCTGGTTTCTGATTAAATATCATTCTCTATCCTACAACTACCTGAAAATAACTACCATAGCACTCTTTTTATCTTTTGTACCGATTATATGGGTCACATATAATTGCCTATAATCTATCCAGCAAAATGCAAGTTCCATGAGACTTGGTCCATCTTGTTGACATCCTGTATCTCCAATAACCAAGATGAGTACTTGTCACTCAGAAGGTATCCAAAAATTTTTCCTGAATACATGAGTAAACAAATGAATACACATAGGAGTAATTATGAGGAGTTCACATTTGCCCCATTATACCAAGCAGGAGAGGATACAGCATTCTCCACTCAGACTGCCAAGGAGTAGGATTATAAACATAATCTTCATTCACAGTCATTCAATCCAGTATTAAAGACAGACTACTTTTGCAATAGATATGCATGCCAAGAAGCAACAAGACAGGTATAACATCTGATTCTTTGTCTTTTTCCTCAATGGGACCCATTTCTGTAGGTGATGGTATTAATTAAAGACATATCCTGGACAGCTGAGTGAAGTATGACAAGGTTATTCTGCATTTGTCCAACAAACACGAATTAACACATAATCTATGCTAGACTAGGAATGTCTAGGCATTTAGATTGCACATGGTACTGTGCTAGTCACTGGCCCTTTGCAAGGCGGGAGGTGCTTCTCCAAAACAGCCCTTTGCAAAGGCCTGAGCAGAGCCTCCTATGTTCTCCATGTGGAGAGAGCCTCCTATGTTCTCCAAGGCACCTTCCTACCTTGACAGGAATGGTTTCCCTGCCCTTCCGTGCTACTGTTTGCCCCGTAAATTTTAGATATCTGTCACCAGTACTTTGACTTGAAACCTTCCCTGCTGTTTGGACACAGCACCTGTTTCCTGGGTCTCTAAAAATATAAACATACATATATTTAAGATTTGCTTTCTTGTGGTAACATTAAATATAGAAGAAAAAAATAAAGCCATTCATCCCTTTCAGGCTCAAGTTCATTTCAGGAAGTATATTTTTAGGTAACAAACTATTTTGAAATTCTCAATGCCTCCCAGACCAACAGCTTGATGGTTAGCTAAAAATACAAGCAGAAATGTTCTCTGAACATTGTGTTAAATTTGGGACTAACGCAACAATGAATATATATTTTTTTCTACAATGGCTATATTTGGATTCACTCATGCAACAACTTATTTAATCTTTTAGGTTTCCCTATAAAACAGTGCCAAAACAAAACAAAATAAACAAAGAAAAATGAGACCATATTTTCTATACTTGATTTTTTTCCTTAGGGTTTTTTCTGTTTTGCGGGGGTAAAGTGTATGTTTTTGAAAAACATCTACTTGCTGATTGGGAAAGTTTGGTGCTTTTAAAATACAAAATAAACCACTTTGACTTAGAATTTGGCCTTCCAGGTTAAATGAGTGGCTACAACTTTGAGGATAGGGTATTATCAATCACTTGGGGAGCGTGGTAATTAACGAAGCTGGGTCCCACTTGAGATATTCTCATTTAATTATTCTAGAGCGTGGTCTGGGCATTAGGAATTTTAAAAGCTGTCCACGTGACTCTAAAGTGTACCCATTGTTGAGGACCCTGACCATGAAGAGGTTGAAAAAGAAACCCAGCACATCCCCCTCCAACACATAATTTATATGATGGTAAGAAAACAGCTTTTCCATAAAGCTGAAAGAAGTTCCCTGGAAAAACACACACCTAAGAAGATACGATTGGCTTATTTACAACTTGATGGAAAAGAATCTTCTGGGCTGGCCAGTCCTTTTCTACCAAATGCCTCGAGTGGTGAGGAGTGATAAGATAGAGATAAAAACAGATGCAACCGTGGCAGTGACAGCTATGGGTGTGCTGACAAGTGTAAGTGGTCTAGGTCTCATGCCTGAAAAACAGAGCCGAAGGGGATGAGACAAAAAGGATCATTAGAAAAGAAAGTGATAGGAAAGAAAGGAAGAAAAGGACATCAATTTGTACAGCTAGGGGAGCCACTTGCATTGCCGTTTGCAAATGGGGCTCTGGAGATGAGCAGGTGCCCAGTGCAGGCATCCTTAGAAGGATGCAGGCAGGCATCCTTAGAAAACCTCTGCTGAACTTTGGGAAAAAGGCAGAGCCACCGGTCCCTGTTCTTGGAGACACAAGCATATGACAGTATGCAATGGAAAAGCACACCCAGAGAGCACCTAGTGTGTCCGAGGAAGTGTGCCTAAGTGAGAACAGATCATCTCATACGCATTTAGCCAGTGACAACTCACTTTTCTCCTCGATGCAGTAGAAGCCACCACCGTGAGGGCCTGATCAGAATTTGTCCTTTCCTTTATACAGGAAATGTTTACCACAGTTCAAAAACAACCAGTGACTCCTATTAGTTCACCCCAGGAGGCTCTTCACCTTAGCAGTTCTGGCCAGTCCCTGAAGGCACACAAATTTCCAACCCTCGCACGCAGCCCATATTCTCTTTCCCTTCCATAATAGAGGTTCTGGGGCCTTTGTACGTATGTGTGTGGTGAGACTGTCAGTTTAGTTCAGAGGGCAAACTAAACTGACCTTTGTTATGATCACCTAATTTTTATAAAATAAAGTCACTCTGGAGTGGGGAGGAGAGAAATACAAACTTTTGCTCACCATTTTAGACTACTTTAGAGGATTCACAGATTCCTTGAAGGTCAGTAAGCCCCAAGTGAAGAATCCCAGGCCTACCTTGGAGTTCTGAGGAGTCCTTGATGACACGTTAAGCAGTACACAGTGCTAACCAGGGTGGGTGGAGGGTGAATGAAGTAGAGGGGTGAGGGAGGTGGTCACTCACTGTATGCAATAATGCATCTATGTCTTCCAATCCACAGGAAAAGATCATTGCAGTCATGGTCTTATGCACCAGAAAACATCTTCTAATGTTTAACACATGATGTTTGAGAAGCCAGAAGAATTTAAAGGCTAAGAAATACAGACACGTGAATGGCTAAGAATAATATTATTCTAAACAACCCACAAAATCCACCTAACTGACTGTTGAGCAAACCCTAACCCAAACTCAGAAATATTTCCAATCTAATTGTCAAAGTACTCTTACGTATCTTCAGTTAAGATATTCTATTAAGGTGATAAATTTAAATTACTATAGATCCTCTGTAAGTAGGTGACTTTCCTTAAGGAATTTTCTACCCATAACACACAAATTAATTATTCATAAGGTCTCCAAAAAGAGGTTCCAATAAGAATACCTCTAGCCTAGAAAGTCATCTGCTGAAGGAAGTGAACCTAGCAGCTTCTCTCAGCACATGACAGTATCACAGGGTCCATCATATTTCACTTCTCTACAAACCATCCCATGAGTAATATCAAGACCTTCACCCATGGCCACACTGCCTTCCTCATTTCATCTCACATTTTCCCCAAACTCACTGCCTAGTGCAAGAAGTTCCAGGTCTGGAGACTATGAATGAAGTGCTTAGCTGTGTCTATTTCTGGAACAGTACCACTGTCTTTGAGGGTCAGAGATGAGCAACTTCATAAGCCTTAGTTTTATTCCAGACATATACTAGGAACTTTAAATATGACTTTGAAATCCTATTAACTGAGCAGTTAGATAAAATTTTTAAGATTTCACAAATAACCCTAAACACCTTGCCATAAATATAGTTATGTAACTCTGAACTCATGCTTCTATGTATTATTGCTTTCTGACATGTTTTGGGGGAATTTAAGAATGTATTTATTCCACAAACACCTGTGGATGTTTTGCCTAGTGCTATGTATTTCATACCAGGGCCAGTGAAACTGACACAATTAAATGTAGTATATCAAAGAATATCCCATGGCAAGAAACAAATAGAACTCACTACGCCTTAGAGCTTTGCTTCTCAAATATTAATGCGCACACACACCCTCTGGGAATATTTTTAACCTGCAGGTGTGAGGTAGTGTATTGGCTCATATAATTGTGGGAGCTGTCAAGTCTGAATTTATAGGGTAGACTGGAAGGTTGGAAATGCAGGCCGGAATTCATGCTGCAGTTCTGGGCCAAATTTTCTAGGAAATCTCAGCTTTTGTTCTTACAAAATGCAACTGAACGGATGAGGGCCGCTCCCATAATAGAGGGTAACCGCCTTTAT